GCTGAGGGGAGCTGCCGACCGGGAGCCGCCGTCCGGCTCCCCGGCCCCCCAAACAAAGGGCCCACCAGGGTCCTAGTGCCCGCCCGCTCCCCCTCCTTCGCGCCTCCGGGTCCTAGCGCCGGGTCTCCGCCCGCAGCCCACCCTGCCCGCCTCTGCCTCTGCCGGTGCCCAATACCTGTCCCCACATGTGCTTGCTTTTCTCTTTCTTCTTGCTTGCTCCCCCTCAGCTCCCGCCCCTCCTGCACCTGCCTCGGGCTTTCCCCATCTGCAACAGTCCTCTCCACGTGTTTCCCACGCACCCCACTTCCGTGCCCTCCTCCCCGTCCCCCTTGTTCCTTCGCCTTCTGCCCCACGCCTCCTGCTCCTTTTCGGCTTCTGCCTGCCGCCTGGGATGCTACTGGACCCCTGCCTTCTCCGCATTCGTTCACCGGTCCGTCCGTCCGTCCATCCATCCATCCATCCATCCATCCTCCCTTCCTCCCTTCTGTTCATCCACCCATGCCTCCAACCCACCGTCCTTTCTGGGCCTCTTGCCCTACCTCTTGGCTCTCTTCCCTGAACCCCACCTTCTCCAGGCCCCTGGGTGCCTTTGGTGATCGCGCTGGCAGCCCCCTTCTCCTGATCTTTGTGTCCTGGGCCCCAGGGAGCACCTGGCCTCGTGGCCTTTGAGGTGACAGCAGGCATCACGCCCCTGAAGAAGTTTGCAAGTAAGAAGAGGCGGTGGAGGAGGGCCGCTCTGTGCGGCCTCTGATGACACTTGTTCTCCTCTGAGACCGGACTCCCTGCTCAGTTCTGTCCGGCCCTGCATTTTCACCCACTTGAGAGTGGGGGCTGCCCCTGTCTCCCGCATGCCTAACCCACCACCCCTCATATCCGGAGATTATATAAGACTGTCAGCGGTCTTCTCCACCTCGAAAGGGGCACATCTGTCGGTAGCCATCGGAAGCAGACCTACTCGGGAGCCCTGGCCACCGGGACTGCCCCATGCTGGGTGGGCAAGGATGGGGCCATTGTCAGGGTCTGGGTGCATTGAGAACCGGAAATGGAATCAGCCGGTTTGGTGACTCAGAATTGATTTTTTTTCCAAGGGACAGGGAGGGGGCGTAGAGGAAGGAGGGGAGAGGAGTCAGGTAGGGGGATGGGGCCGGAGCTGCTTTGCACAACTAAGATCCACCCAGAAAGTGAGAGGTACAAGGGCAACCCTTGCCCAAAACCCCCTAAAGAGGGAAGGGGCTCACATCACCGACCAAGGGGACCTGGAAGATGCCAGAGGCCCCAAGACATCAGCTTCTCTGCTCTGTGGCCATCCTACCCGTGCAGGACCCGGGAAGCTGGGTGTAGCTTTGACAATGCCATGGTAACCCAGGTGGAACAAGATTGAGTTGGTGGGGATGGGGACCTGGGAGAGCCTCTGTTAGGGATGCCCCGGCGTAGCAGAAAGGACCCATCTGAGAAATCTCAAGAAGGCACCCGGGGATCTACAGGAAAATATGTTCAGGACTATTTCCCATCTAAGTGGGGAAGATACTGACTCAGTCATGCAAGCAGTTGGCCGTGGGACCCGGAACCTCACCTTGGAGTCTATAGGAAAGGTGTCTGGATCCTTCCTAACGGCACCAGTTCCTTCCAGAAGTAGCAGGTGGAGGAAGCAGGAGCCACTGCAGGCTCCCCAAGTGGTGCTGAGCATCAGGATCTCGTCAGGGAGTGTGGGCTTCCTCCTGCCCCGCTGCAGGCTGCAGGCCCTGGGCGGGTAGGAGATAGATGGGGCTTCTGGGAAGGAGGTGGTCCTTCTGAGCTGTGTTTCTCCTCCAGGGGCTGAGCTGGAGGAGACTAACAAAAGCACGAAGAAGTTGGATGCCATGACCCTCATTAAAGAAGGTGGGAGTCAGGACCACCTTCCCCTCTGCCCCACCTCCCAGGAGGTGGCTGTTCGGTGGGCGGGGCGGCAGGTCTGGGATCCTCTCTCTGATAGGTCTGAGTCGGCCCATGCGCCTGGCTGCTGACACCTGTCGTAGGAGATCCTAATCATAGGGGGTCATGCCTACTCACCCGGAAGCCCACATTCTTAGGGACTGCTTCGATTGAACTCTGGAAGCTGGGAGCCTCCAGCAGGAAGCCCGTCATGTCAACAGGGGGAAGTGCTCCCCAATCTCACAGGGAAGCCCTGGGGTCCCCAGCCCCAGTGATGAGGGCTTCTGTCATTGCAGACATGTCCATCTTCGGGCACTGCCCGGCCTACGACGACTTCTATCTGGTTGTGTGTAACCACTGCAGCCAAGTGGTGAAGCCTCAAGCTTTCCAGAAGCACTGCGGTGAGGGAGCCCCAGGGCGGAGCCGCAGGCGGGGAGCGTGAAAGGGAACCCCCAGGACAGGGTCAGCTGGGAGGCCTGAGTGTGAGGGAGGGCGGCCTTGGGGATAGGGAGGTCCTGGGGGTGGCTGCATAGATCGAGGCAGGTTGTTGGGGTTAACGTTTGAGCAAAACTCCCAGCAGTTCTTTCTAGTGGAGTGTAGGGAGAAGAGCTAAGAGATCCGGGAAGCTGGGCCCTAGAATTTTGAGTCCTGAAGGCTCAGGTTCCGAGGGGAAGGAGGCCTGTTAGAAATCTAAACTCCAGATTCTCTGTGTGAGTCTGTGAGCAGGGTGAGCAGGTCGGGAAGGAGGCAGTCGGTTACTCACCTCCGTTGCTCTCTCCACCTCCTGGTGACAGAAAGAAGACATGGGCCCCTCAGCAAGCTTTACGCCCGGGCCCCACCCCCACCTCCAGCCCCTGCCAGCTCTCAGAAATGCCATGTAGTGAATGGGCAGGGCCCCGCTTGTAGGGCCCCAGGTTCCACCAAAACCTCCTCCAGGGAGAAGGGCCAGGGGTCCCGGAGCCGTGGCCACCCACCACCCGAGAAGAGCCAGAAGGACAACCTCTGGTAAGGAGAGGCTGGAGACGCCCCGAGACCCTGGCCCAGATGGGGCAACGGGGGGCGATGGGGGAACATGGAGGGCGATGGGGGGCCATGGGCACCGTTTGCAGCAGGGGGCAGCCAGCTCCGTCGGCAGCCCCTCCCGGGTGCTCCGGGGAATAGGGGTCCCCCCTCCCATGTTCTGCATCCCTGCTGGAGCCCACCCAAGTTCCAGGGCTGGGAAGTGTTTGGCTCTGGGCTAGAGCCCAGGCCCCAGGCCCAGCCTCCCTGCCCCCGTCCACACCCTCTCTCCATGTGCAGCCTGTTCGTGCCTGTGGTGAATCTGGAGAAGATGTCTGGTCTCCCGAAGCCCGACGGCCCCGGAGTCAGGGTGGCCCCGCCCTCTGCCTTCCTCAGCCAGCCCGGCAGCCTCCCCAAGGACTCCCCTGGGAAGCCCCCCATGGCGCCCCCTCCTAAGGAGCTTCCTGGCAGAGAGAGCACCAAGATAACCCCCGGCGAGGGCCCCAGTCACCGGGCTGACGGCAGCCCCCCTGAAAAGGAGCCTGGTGGGGCCAGGCTGCCCCCTAAGACCCACCGGAAAATGGCCCGTGAGTAGTCGTGGTTTTGGGGGTCAGGGAGGGAGAGTGAGGACTCATTCTCTGTCGCTGGACCTGATGGAGAGGGGGCAGAAAGGAGACGGCCCGCCGTCGCAGGTGGCCAGGGTGCCGGAGCCGCTGCTCACCTCTTGACGTGGGCGCGTTTGACCTGCTTGCTCTCTGGGAAGCTTCCCTCCAGCCAGTCTCCCAACCGAGGCTAAAGGGGCCTGTGCCCACGCCGGGGACATGACTCTTCCTCGCCTTGGGCTACTGACTGCCTTGTCTCCCCGAGACCCGGCACCGGGCGCCTCCCACACCCGGACCCCTGGCACCCAGATGTCTGTGGCTGCCTGTGTGTTTTGATATGTGTTGCCCTGTTTGGGGCTTGGAGTCCCCAGAAGGAGGGCCTGGGCTGCGGACGGGGCCGGGCGGGGTCTTGGGCAGCAGAGAGCTGCTGGTGTGGAGATGTATCTCCAGACGCTGCCGCCTTGCACTGAGGGGCAGGGGGCTCTATGCCTGAGGCCCAGCTGGCCTCCCGCCTCCTGAGGCCCCCCTGGAAATGCCCTTGAGACTCACTGGAACCGCTCTCCCCACAGGGAAGGAGTGCGACCTCAACAGGCAGTGTGGGGTAATAAACCCAGAGACCAAAAAGATCTGCACCCGCCTGCTGACCTGCAAGGTAACCCTCCCCCCCTCGCCCCCATCCCCCCCACCCCCACACAGGGAGGGAGGACGGCACAGACCTGGGCCCTGGGCCGGGAGAGGAATGGAGCTGTTCTCCAAGATCCAGCTCCAGGGATGGGCAGGGGGAGGGGAGGCTGCCCGCAGTGGGCCTGGAGTGGGGGCAGCAGGCCAGGGGTGGCTCCCAGATCCCCCGATTCCGAGGAGGGTTCTGGTCCTGTGGGGGAGTGAAACAAAGACACACAGACACCCCCGCAAACACACTCACATCCCCTCTCTCTCTGCTTGCCCAGGCCAGAGCACACCGCTGCCCCTCACCCCTGCTCAGCTCACACCCCCTCCCCACCCCTCCATCCTGCTGTGTTCTAGATCCACTCGGTGCACCAGCGCCGGGAGGTCCAGGGCCGGGCTAAGGACTTCGACGTGCTGGTGGCAGAGCTGAAGGCCAACTCCCGCAAAGGGGAGTCCCCGAAGGAGAAGAGCCCGGGGCGCAAGGAGCCGGCTCCCGAGCGCCCCTCCCAGGAGCCCCCCTCCTCAGCCCCGGTTGTGGCAGCGGCGGTTGCTCCCAGCAGCACCTTCTCTGCTCGTGCCAAGCAGACCTATCCCTACTGTGCGCTGCCCAGGTACGTCCAGGATCCAGCCGCATCTCACCTGGGGACACTCGGCCCCAAGCCATCAGGGACCCCTGGAGACAGGCCCAGGGAGCGCGCTGGAAGGTGCTACTCATTCCGCCCCGAGTGTGGGGGGAGACCTGGGGCCCTGGTGGGTGCGGGAGTGGGTGACTCCGTTTCTAACCAAGCCGACCACGGTGCCCCCGCCTCTGGTGTGCCGGTTCCAACACCCAGGATGAGAGCGGTTTCCCAGCTGCTTGCGACAGGCCAGCACTCGGCACTGGGGAGCCGAAAGGGTCAGGGAGCTGAAAGGGTCAGGGTCCTGGGCGAGGCGGTCCTACTGTGTATTCATTCGCTGGCCCCTTCGTGTGCAGAGGCTGCGCTGGACCCTGGGGAGAGCCTGCCTTGCGGAAGGAGACACACACGCCTCTCTGCCTGTAACACGGGCAGACACGAGACACAGGCTCAGCTCCCAGACAGGCTCCCAGGAATGTGTGATGCGAGAAGGGGGTTGAGAGAATTGACGGGGCTGACCAGAACTGGGTGCAGTTAAACTCAGAAGATTTTCTGGAGGAGGCGAATCTGGAGCAATTTCCCCCAAGGAGGCAGGGCCTGGGAAGTGAAGGGCTGGGGAGAGAATTCCCCGGGAGCGGGAGCCGCAGCCCCTGATCTCTGCCTCTCACCCTGTGAGCTCTGTTGTTCCCTCCCTTCCTCTCCTCCCTTCCTCTTTGTCTGATGGCTCAGCAGGGTGTCTGCCCTGCTTTTTGAGCTGGGCGGGTTCAGGGATCCCCCCACCCTGACCCACGGCTGTCCCAGCGCCCTCACATCCCCTTTGGCCCTTCCAGGTCCCGGGCCTCCTCTGAGAGTGAGTTGGATGATGAAGGCCCCTGTGGTGGTGATGGGGACCCAGGCCTGTTCCCCTTCCCCCTGCCCCGGGGTGGGGCCCAGGCCTCCAGCGAGGAGAGTGAGGAGGAGGGGCCATCTGATGACCTCCACCTCCCCCCTGACTGCCATTATGCCACCCGGCCCCCCAGGCCACAGGCGGTAAGGACCTGGGGCGGGGACCCGGGTGGGGGTGGCCCGGCCCTCCCTGCCCACGGTGTGCAGGGGGGTCAGATCCCGTGTGCAGGTAGGTGCCCGCCCTGCACCTCAGCCCCACTGACCCCGTGCCTTCCCTCCGTCTCCAGTTCTGCACCTTTGGGAGCCGGCTAGTGAGTCCAGGGTGCTACGTGTTCAGCCGCAGGCTGGACCGCTTCTGCTCGGCGCTGAGCTCCATGCTGGAAAGGCACCTCAGCTCACACATGTGGAAGTGAGTTTCCTGGGCTCGGAACTTCCTCCCCAGGCCCCAGGCGTACGTGGGCCTCCGCAGCCCTCACTCTTCACATGGACCCAGGGGTGTGGCTTGGCTGCTGGCCAGGAAGACCCCGGCTACAGGAAAGGGGTGGGGGGACTGGGCAGCCCGGAGCTGGGCTACCGCAGGGCATGAATGGGGGTCTGGGAGTGACTCACTCTTACCCATACTTCCAGCACCTTTTAGGAAACTAGGATTAGGGGCTGCTCCAACATTTAAAAGGATGTTCTTAATGGGTCTCTATCCTGGCTCATTCCTGCCTGTCTGTCCCTGTGCCTTCTCTCTAACCCTCAGTTCCAGCGTCTCCCAGCAGATGGCAGCACTGCCAGGGCTCTGGGCCATTTCTAGGTGGGGCAGAGGCTGGTGTATGTTGGTGGAGAGGCCCTCTTGTTTGCTTGACCTGACCATGGCGCTCTCTTTCTGCTGCAGGAAGATCCCACCGGCAGCGGAGCCTCCATCCCACCTTGCCAGTTCCCCCCTTCCTGCTCCCCCGAGCCCAGCCTCTATGGGCAGCTGCCCCCACCTTCCGGGCCCACCCCCCAGACCTGCTTGCCCAGCTTCCACGCCCCCCACCAAGGACAGCCTGGCCCCCAGCTACCCTGCCGGCTCCCCCAGTGTGGCAGCCGCCTGCAGCCAGGCAGAGTGCATGGGCGGGAGCCAGGCCATCACCTCGCCACTGCCTGCCAACACACCCTCGCCGTCCTTCAGCAAGCTCCCGCCTTCCAAGGCCAGCAAGTCGTCCAAAGGCAAGGACGGGGCCGAAGTGGAGGCGCCTTCCCGGAAGCGAAAGTTGTCCCCTGGCCCCACAACTTTCAAACGGACCTGCATCCTGGAGCCCTCGGGCAAAGGCAAACCCTCCGGCTGCCGGGGCCTCTCGGCCAAGACTAAAACCGCGCTGGGCGTGGGGCTCAACGGGACGGTGGGGCCGAGAGTGAAGCGGGCAGGGCCCCCGGACTGTCGGGGTTCCCCTCATCAGCCGCCCACACCAGTCAAGGCTTCTCAGCTGGACAGCCAGGGAGCGGCCGGCCACCCAGCCAAGGCCCTGCCGAGCACCTGCCTCTCCGAGGAGGAGGCGGCCAAGAAGCGGAAAAACCTGGCCACGTACTGCCGGCCAGTGAAGGCCAAGCACTGCCCGGCGGGCCCCCCCGCCGACGCGGCCTGCTCCGTGCGCCGCAAGAAGCCGGGGCCCGCCCTGGCCTTTGAGGAGAAGTGTTCTGCACTGAAGGTACCCGCCCAGCTCCCCGCAGAGCACGGGCAGCCAAGGGGCAGCACGGTGAGGGTGGAGCGCGCGGTGGGAACTGACGCAGACAGGTGCTGAGTGAGTGTTGGCGCAGGGAGGGGAGGAGAGGGGGCCATCGCCAGGGAGAGGTGGGCCAGCTCACTGCGAGGTGACCCCGGCTTTCGCTTCATGAGCCTTTCACTGTCTCCGCCCGCTCCCTCAGGCGAAGGAGAGGCTGCCTTTGCCTCCCCCTCCCACACCCACTCGTGCTGTCATCAGAGGCCACTCTCTGAGTTGGCTGTGGCCTTGAGCACTGCAGCTACCTCTGCCCCTGAGCGAAAGGAAGCGTGTCTCCATGAGCTCTGATAAAGGTCTGGGCGTGGGTTGAGCGTGAGCCTGGAGCTGTGGCCTAACCGCTGCCCAGCAGGGTGGCTGGGCCCATGTCACACATTGCTTTTGCCTCTGGGCATCAGCATGGAGGGGCAGGGACAAAGCTCAAGGTCCACACAGGCGTGCATGCCCACCTTGCACACATCCCCACTTCCAGGTTTTCGGGTGCCAGGCAAGTTTTCCAGGGTTTCTGGGAAAGCCAGCAGCCAGCTCTTTTTTTTTTCCCCTCTGTTGATGGAGCCCAGGCGTAGCATGGATCTGTCCACAGGTTCTCAGCCAGTAGGGAGTTACTGGCATGGGAAGGGGGTGCTTTCCTGGGTTAGGCATGGGCCAGATGCATGCCAACACCTCATACCCGTGTGAGAGTGGTGAGTGTGACATCTGCCCAGGGCCCGAGTGTGTGTGGCACACACGTGTGCATGGCTTGTTCTCCGGGCCGGCCCTGCGGGCTTGGCGCTCAGCCTCCTCCTGGCCAGCTTTTCCCCACCGGCCAGCGGGGGGAGGTCAGGCCTTAGCTTCTGTGCTCACAACAGTCGGCTGGCCGAGCAGGAGGACCGGCAGACCCCCAGCTGACCCTGTCTCTCGCCTCTTGTCTCCCTGCAGTCAAAAGCCCATTAACGAGAAAGTGCCTGCCCACTGCGATGGAGCCGCCAGCACCTCCTCCCCTCCAGATCCGGGCCCCAGGCTGCTGCCGCTTTTTATAACTTTATATTATTTTTTTTAAGAAAAAAAAAAACCTCTTTAAAATACCTCAAGACTGTCTCCCTGTTCTGTTGCTGCTAAGAAAAATATAAAAACAGAAACCTAGAAAAGGAAGGGGAAAATCTATAACAAAATGAGTGTCCTTACTGTCCCCAGCCATACCCAGGAGGCTGAGCTGATGGAGAACCAGCCTCCAGCTTCCCTCTCTCTGTCCCCTGAGACCGTGTGGAAATGGCCGGGGTGTGTGTCACTGGGAGTCTTCTTTCCAGGCAGGGTGAGGAGGCATGGCTCTGAGCGAGCAGGGCTCCCCAGAATCTTGACCCCAGAGCTCACACCAGTCCTATTGGGAAGGGAGCTTGACGGGAAGGGGAGCCACACCTCTGGTTCTGCTCTTGGGTCTTTGCTCCGAGGGTCTGTGGGGGTCAGCCTGTGGCCCTTTCATGGTCTTTCTGCAAGCCTGGGCCTCCATCGCGCCTCCGAATTACTGCTTCATTTCTTCAGCTGTTCCTGCCTCTAACCAGCAGCTCATCTTCACCACTGCGGGAGCTTGAATCGAGTTGGTAACGTCTCAGAATGTCCCTGCCTGTTTTGGCCTCTCCCCGGCCGTTGGGTTTGCCCTTAAGGAAAGGGTATAGCCTCTCCCAGGTAGGCCTCCTTGAGCTGAACCACACCTTTTTGGGAGGCAGGAAGGGGAGTGGCGTGATCACAGGACTCCCGTGGTGTGGGAGGCCCTGGTCCCTTAGGATCGCCTGGCTCCCCTGGGGCTGAGCAGATGGTGTGGAGGCGGCTGGGGCTGGGAGTGCCCTAGTTCCTCCATTTGTCTCGTTGGGGACAGTGATTGTGCAGATAGAGCACCGTCAGCCAGACTGCTGGTCCTCAAGCCTGAGTTCACTTGGGTGCAGGGCACGGTTTTCCCCTGGTCCTTTCCTTTTCCTCTCCTCCGCCTTGAGGCAGGAAGGGATCTTATTCCCTTAACATGACAGAAGGAGGATGGATGGAGACAGTGGGCAGCCAGGGAATGCCAGCATTTACTGGTTCCAGTGTCTTGGTTCAGTGTCGCCAACTTGTGACTTGGGGTTTGGGTGAAATCAGTTGTCGCACATGTGATTTCCGCCGCTGCCCGAGACATAAGCCCTTGTAGACCAAGGTCCTGTGCGGTTGGCGTAGGGAACAGCGGCCCAGGAGCTGTCCAGTGCCCGGCGCCCTTGGGCTCTCCCGGGGGGCTCGCTTCCCCCCGTCCCCCAGAGGGCGCTGTGGGCGCATCCACTGCACCGCCGGGCGTCCGGGGCGGAGCCTCCCGCGCCGCGGCGCCGGGCGATCGCAAACCCGGAAGACGCGCTCGGGCGACCGGGAGTGCGCGCCGGTCCGGTCCGGCCATGCAGAGCCTGGAGTTGGGTCTGGTTCCCGCTCCAGCGAGGGAGCCGAGACTGACCCGCTGGCTGCGGAGAGGCAGCGGGATCTTGGCGCACCTGCTGGCTTTGGGCTTCACCATCTTTCTGACTGTGCTGTCCCGGCCGGGAACCAGTGAGTGGGCGGGGCGGGGCGGGGCGGGGCCGAGGGGCCAGAGGGGCGGGGCCAGGGGCAGGAGGGGGCGGGGCCGAGGGGCTGGAGGGGCTGGAGAGGCTGCTCGTGGGAGCCCCCGCCCCGGAGACGGAGTGGGGACCCTTGTGGAGGGATGGGCCGGTGCGGGGTAGGCAGGGCTCTGGGTGCCGGGGAGGGGAGGCAGGCGACGGGAGCGAACTCCTTAGTTCCCCTTCGCGGAGGGTGCAGGGAGGGAGGCTGCGGTCCAGTCGGGGCGGGGGGAGGGGGGCGGGGGGGGCACTGGGCTGACAGCTGCGAGGTGCCCGAGGGGAAGCAGGCTGCCCTGGTGTGGGCTTGGCCTCGTGGTTGCTCACTCTAACCTTGGCCGCTCCACTTTGCCCTGATTCCTGGTCGGGGTTGGGACAGTACACTGACCTGCCCCTGTAGGCAGATTCTTTGGGCTCCAGCCAGCCTCAGGGTAGAAACAATGGTGCCCAGCGTCAGTCTGTTCTCTTTGGTTCTCAGGTCTTTTCTCCTGGCACCCTGTATTCATGGCCTTGGCGGTGAGTTTGGGCTTCCGTATGCGGCTGATTGGTGTGGCTCTGTCCCTGGGGGAACATCCAGGCTCCAGAAGGCCCAGCCTTGCTAAGGCTCCGGGGTGGGGAGCAGGCCGCCTCCAGCTTTCCCTGCCGCCTTTGAGAGTGGGGACAGGGAGGGCTGGGCTGTGCCAGGTAGTCCGTGGGGGTGGGAGGGAATGGAAGGCATTTCTGCACTAGGGCCTGGGAGGAGGAGGTGGGCGGGGTGATATCCAGCCACTCCTCCCCCAAAGTTGGGGAGGACGTTTTTAACATTTGTTGTTTCCATTGGCCAAGAAATAGGAGTCTTTGTCTGAGGGCAGGTTGGGGAGGTGGGGGGGGATCGTGGACTTTGCATGTCAGCCTGAATGACAAGCGACTTCCGCTCAAGTGTAGACTCCCCATGGTGCCCAGCCATGTGGGCCTGTGGGGCAGGAGGTCCTGGTGGGGTTCTTTAGCCCCCACCCGGTGTCCTTGTTTGGATATAAGTAGGAGGGCACCTCCCTTTTCTCAGACGCCCAGCTGGCCGTCAGGCTCACTGGCCCTCTCTTGTTCGCAGTTCTGCGTCTGCATGGCCGAGGCCATCCTCCTCTTCTCGCCTGAGCACTCCCTGTTCTCCTTCTGCTCCCGAACGGCCCGGATCCGACTGCACTGGGTGGGGCAGAGCCTGGCCCTCCCCCTGCGCAGCCCTGGGCCTGGGCTTCATCATCGCCAGCAGGACCCGCAGCGAGCTGCCCCACCTGGCGTCCTGGCACAGCTGGGTGGGGGCTCTGACGCTGCTGGCCACGGCGGGCCAGGCGCTGTGTGGGCTCTGCCTGCTCTTCCCCCGGGCAGCCAGGGTCTCCAGGGTTGCTCGCCTCAAGCTCTACCATCTGACGTGTGGCCTGGTGGTCTACCTGATGGCCACCGTGACGGTGGTCCTGGGCATGTACTCGGTGTGGTTCCAGGCCCAGATCAAAGGTGCCGCCTGGTACCTGTGCCTGGCGCTGCCCCTCTACCCAGCCCTGGTGATCATGCACCAGATCTCCAGCTCCTACTTGCCGAGGAAGAAAACGGAAATATGACTCCCTCCAAACTCTGACTCTAGCTGGCACCCTGGCCTTGGACTTCAGTGGTCTGTTTGGTGACCTTCAAGGGCTCCACTCCCGAAGTGGTAGGGTTTTTATACTCTTAGCTGGGCTGACGGGTGACTCCGTGGACTGAAATGGGGAAACGTACTGGGTGCAAGTAAAAGGTGATGGGGAGCTGGGTCCTGAGCCTCCACTCTGGACGGGAGACAGAAGGGCTGGGTCCTGGTGGTGATGGTGGTGCCGCCATTTCTTGGCTGCATGCCTGATGGAGGGTTGGGTTCCTGCAGTTGTGAAAGGCAGCCGTGGCTCTTGGAGTCACTCTTGAGAAAGCAGTTGGTGTGGTGGACAGAGCCCTGGGTCTTGTTCATAGTTATGGTCCTCGTAGGCTCCTGTGTGACCTGACGCAGGTCGCATGTCGCAGGAGCTCGGCTTCTTTATCTGTGTGAGGAGCGTTTCTAAATGGCCTCTAACATCCAGTGTCTGTGAGGCTGACCTCACTGCACACCCTCCAGCTCTGGACCGGGGCTGGACCCCTTAGAAGACTCAGGATGTGATTCTTACACCCATTGTCCCCTGACCACTCTGGAGGGACAGATCTGTCCTCGTGGCCTGTCGGGAATCTATGCTGATTTGGCCCCAGACCAGGGCACGAGGGGTCAGGCACTGTGGAGGGAAGGGGGCCAGGTGAGGATCTCCTGAACTCCAACACAGCAAAGGCACTAAAGTCACTTTAAAGCCATGGGAGAGCCCTGGCCAGTGTGGCTCAGTGGATAGAGCATCCACCTGCGGACTGAAGGGTCCCGGGTTCGATTCCAGTCAAGGGCACATACCTCAGTTGCAGGCTCGATCCCCAGCCCTGGGCAGGGCACGTGCGGGAAGCAACCAGTCAATGTGTCTCTCTCACATCGACGTTTCTCTCTCTGCGTCTCTCCCCCTCCCTTCCACTCTCTCTAAAAATCAATGGAAAACTATCCTCGGGTGAAGATTACCAAAAACAAAAATAAACTTTACAGAGCTGTGGGCGAGTGGAGGGCACTGGTTTACCCAAACCTGGGGCTCCTGCTGGCTGCTTGCCCCCTCGGGCTCGAGGGCTGAGGGCAGGGCTGTGCTCCTCCCCTGACGTCCGGTCTTGGTGGCCAAGTCGTCCTGGGCACCCCGTGTTTTGCCCTCCTTGGGCTCAGCTTCTTGCCTTAGCACACAGCTCTGTGCAGCTGTCCCGAAGCTTCTAGAACAAAATAGGAGCCCAGGCAGCGGGGCCGGGCTCTGTGACCTCGGAAAGGCCCCTCTTCCTCGTCACCCACGTTTTCCTCTCTGTCGTCTCTCGCCGGCCCTTTGGCCCAGCAGCAGGGCTGAGTGCGGTGCAGCTGGCACAGGAGGGCCAGGCCCTCTTCCCTGCAGAGCCCTCTCCTCGTTCCACATCGAAAGCAGTTCCCCAGACTGCCCTCAGCGACGCGAGGGGTGCCAGGCCGGCTCACTGTGGTCCATCCGGCTCAGTTAGGGAGAGGGGATCCCCATAGATCCTGGCCAGGAGTGCAGGCGGCTGACCCAGGAGAGCTGGCGTTGAGCAGGTGGTCACAGCTCGTGGGGCTCTGGGAGGCCTGGGGGATGGGAGCTGGAGCTCCGGGTCCCGGGACCAGGGGAGGTGTTCCTAGGTGGCAGCATTGGGGTGTCCCAGGTCTTTCGAAGATTCAAGACCTCCTCTCTGGTGGCTCAGAAGCACGGAGTTGGGATGACTCCACAGCACAGGGACGGGACTACACGGGCAGAGGCATCCCCGAGGGGACTCCCTGGGCGCCTCCTGGTCACATGGCCTCTCCCAGGAGCTGTGTGGACCTTGAGCACGTGGGGTCACTGATCGCCTCTCCATCCGACACAGCCCGTGCTGGGAGTCTTGCCCTGTCTGCAGCGGGGGGAGGGCCGGTACGGCTCCCAGCTTCGCCTGAGCCCGGCCGGAAAGGAAAGCCGGCGCCTGCCTGAGGTGTTGCCTCCTCCCAGGTGGTTCAGGGGCGGGTGGGCGGGTGGGCAGGCGGCTGACAGCCGGCAGTTTGCGTGGGCCGTGCCAGCTGATGTCTATTCCCAGCCCTGGGAGGAAGGGGGGAGCTGTTTATGTTCTGCAAGAAGAAGGGGCCGCAGCTGTCGCCTCTCTGACTGGGCGGCCAGGAGGGCAGGGGCAGAGGCAGAGGAGGCACAGGTGGTCTGCTTGGCGGGTGGGACAGCAGTGTAGGGAGTAGGTCGCCAGGAGCCTTTGTTCCCTGCTGGCCAGATTGTGGGGGGCCTCCCTACCCGCCCCGCCTGCATTTCTCCCTCCTTCACCACCTGCCCTTACATCCTGGGCAGCAGCGGGACAACCATTCGCCCTCGGTGCCAGGGTGCCCGTCCTCCAGCGGGATCTCGGCGGCTGCCGGCTGCATGTGCCTCCTCCCCACGCGCTCGGGCCCCCACCTCCCGAGCCTTCCATCTGGGGTATTAGCCGGGCACCTCGGTGAAGAGGCAGGGGCCGCGGGGGAGCAGCACAGGGCTGCCCTTTTGTCCTTGGCCCCTGACTAAGGAAAGCTGCTAGTAGTCAGCCTGTTTACCCTTAAAAAAAAAAAAGTCAGGGTGCTCAACTTAAAAAAAAAAAAAAAGCATGTCATTTGCACAAATTTGCATATCAGGCTCACCAAGTCCTAATTCCAAATATGATTATATTCAAGCTCAACTTTGAGGACATTAGAAATAGAGGAGGTTTTGTATCCAGATCCAGGTGGTAATAGGATTACCATTCGGGGTTCAGGTGCCCCCAGCCCCCATCTTTTCCGGGAGCTCCCCTTCCCTGGAGCCCCACCATGGGAGGGGGGGTGAGGGGGTGCTTTTGAATGGCAGGAGCTCCGTGCCTGGGGAAGCCTACCAGCCTCGCCTTCTTGTCTCTGCAGCTGCATCAAAGATGGGCTGGTATCTCTTGCCAGCCCGGCCTCCTCTCTCCCCACCCCCTCACGGGGCAGACTACCCGCCCCACGACCGGACCCTGGCCTGCCCCTCCTTCCTCCTCGTCCCCACCCTCCCACCCCCGTGCAGGGCTGCAGAGTGCGCCTGCCTCTTGTTTTCCAACCTCCCCGTGGGAGAGCCAGCTGGCGGCCGGGCCAGGGCCTGTTCCGAGCTAATAGTAATCATTAGCTGAACGGTGCGGGGCATTCAGCTCCAGACCTCCCAGCACCGAGGCTGCGGCAGCCAGTCCTCACCTTCCGCTCTTCCTGGCCTGCGGGGTGTCACCCCGGTGTGTCCCCAAGCAGGAGGGAGCCCTCGGGCAGTGGCCCCCAGGGTCCTCTGAGTAACTAGTAAGGCTTTTCACCTGATGAAGGTCAAGATGCAGGGGACACGTGCGGGCCCCGCTGACGCTGGCAGCCAGTGGTGTTGGCGGCTGCTGACCCTGACCGGCTAGTCCTCCCGCCCTTCCCTCTGTGTACCTGGCCCTGACCCCCGGCCTCAGCCCCTCCCGTGGTCCCTGCAGGCTCGGGGAGCAGGAGGCTCCCACTGCCCGTGTCTGGTTGGCAGAGTGCGTGGGTCTGAGGTGGGCGGTGGGCTGGCCAGCGACATGCGCGCCTGCCGTCCTGGTTTCCTCCTCACACGGGTGTGGCCTGTGCCAATCACTTACTCGGCGACCCACCTCCCAGGGATGGAGCGAGGGCGAGAGACACTGGAAGGTTCAGAGCACTAAACGCGTGTGAACAGGGGGGGGCTTCTCCGGCTGGTCCTGCCCCCTCTCACTGCCTGGCTCGGGCTCTGCTGCGTTGAGGGAGGCAGTAAACAGGGTAATGACACTTAGGGGACCCGGTCTCCGAAGGGCTGTCACGCCGGCCACCGTGAGAGAACACAGACGTTTCCCGGATGCGAGGTCAGCTCCTGCCAGGAGCGCACGGCTGTGACTCAGCACCGGCCCTGCCCCACCTGCTGGTTTCCAGTCGGGGCTCTGATGGGACCCGGGAGTCGGTTTCCCCGGTCCAGCCGGGTCCGGAGCTGGGTGGTCTCTCTCCTGCCACTTCAGCTCTTCCGAGGGGACCGAGCAGACAAGCCAGGGTGGGAGGGAGGAGCTGCAATAGACACCGCACTGCCCCCATCCTCCATCTCCCCCCCCCCACCACCACCCCTGACCCCCCAGACCAGGTGCTGGAGACAGGGGGCTGCAGACATGGCCCTGGCTGTCCACAGGCTTCTTGTTTCAAACGCTTGGAATCACAGTCCCCTCCTCCTCGAAGCACTTCCATTGGAATTAACACACACTCGCCCCAGGAACGCAGTTCTGTTTAAATGTTAAATTCGGGGAAGGATACTTTCCATTCCATTCGCCTGAGCACAGCCAGCAGCCTGCAGCCTGCGTGCAGCGGACAGAGGACAGAGGCAGGAACGACAGCCACGCAGAGCCCGGGGCTCGCCTTTTATCTGAGTTGTTTTCTACCCGGGACCGGGGGATGGGACACAGTCGGCTCTGTGGGCATGGCCTCCCCAACTCCCCCCAGCACAGGCAGGAGGACAGAGCTGACCGGCAGGAGGACAGGGCCCCGGGGCCGCCCTGGGGGTGGTTTGAAGTGAACCGCCTCCAGCACCCGGCTCCGCTTACAGCACACACGTCACCTCCAGTCAGCGGCCTGCCCGATTCTTCCCCAGTAGAATCAGGAGTTGAGAATCCAGTCCCGCCTCTGGTGGGCTCAGTCTGTACCCAGAACGCGGGGAGAGCATCTCTCTGTTCTGTGCAAGGCTCAGCTAGTCAACCACTGGCCTTCTGCTCAGACCCACACCTAGAGCCAACGCCGCCGGCAGGTGAGGGGCAGGGAGGCGGGGAAAAGCAGCACCAAGTTCCATTCAGATACGATGCCCCCAACCTGCCTGCAAACACTCCGCCCTAACTGGGGTCACTGACTCTGACCTTCCATGCGCAGCGCTGTGGGGCGTCCGGACGCCCCTGCAGGGCTCCGTGGCCTGGCTCGCTGAGGACTGACCCCTCTGGCACGGGCCCACACTCCCATCTGGGACAGGCACTCGGCTGGAAGGCCTCGGGCAGGTCTAAGTATGTTGATCACTTGATATCGTCCACCCCACCATGTATAAGCCCGATGAAGGGAGGGGCTATGTGGCGGCTGCTTTTGCCTCCTTTCAATCCAGCAGGCACCGCAGCCAGACCAGAAAAGCCCCCACCCCCCACCCCGCCCGGCCTCCTGCACAGGGCCAAGCCTTCTCTGTGGTGTGGGTGGGGAAGTGAAGCCTCGCCATCGGTTTCCTGGGAGATAAGACAAGCCATCCAAGAACCACAACTGCGGACAAAGGAAGGAGCTGAGAAATCAGGACACGAGAGGCGAGGCTGTCACCTTAGCCTCGTCCACTCCCTTGAGGTGCCACCTGATCGGAGCTGGGGGAAGGGCTGCAGGTGCGGCAGACAGACTCCCACGTCTAGGCCAGAGGCTCGTGGCTGGGGAGGCAGAGGAGATGCAGCCATGGACTTTCGTGGGATGATGGAGGAAGGAGCATCAAAACTTCTCAGGCTCAGAGACAGGGCTGGGCACAAGCCAAAAAAGAGAGGGGTCCCCCCCCCCCGACCTGTTCTCTACCAGCTTCATCCTCTTGACCAAACTCAGCCATAGCAAAGCTGAGATGAAAAATGCTGACACACATAGACTGGGGAGGGGGAGGGAGGCTCTGACAACAGCTGTCACTCCGCGGCCGCCGGTAGGCGTGGCTGTGGTGTCTCCATCCCTCACTGGGCTCGCTCCTCCCTGAGAGAAAAAGACAAGGAGCCGAAACCGGTTTGGCTCAGTGGATAGAGCGTCGGCCTGCGGACTCAAGGGTCCCGGGTTCGATTCCGGTCAAGGGCATGTACCTGGGTTGCGGGCATATCCCCAGTGGGGGATGTGCAGGAGGCAGCTGATCGATGTTTCTCTCTCATCGATGTTTCTGACTCTCTATCTCTCTCCCTTCCTCTCTGTAAAAAATCAATAAAAATATTTAAAAAAAAAAAAAAGACAAGGAAACTCCAGACAGAGGAGGGCTGCCCTCTGGTCAAGATTTTACCCACGGAAGAAAGCGGGTCGTTTTTCCAATCGGATTCTCTTTCTTTTTTCCTTCCACCATCTCCTCTCCCCTCTGGAATCCGGCATGACAGGCCCCTCCCAGAAGTGCAGAGAGAGTGGCCACAGGATGCGCAGGTCAGAGTTCAGTAGAACCCGGTCCCCTCTCTGCTGGGCTCAGTCTGTACCGAGGACGTGGGGAGGGCGGCCCTCTGCTCTGTGCAGGGCCGAGGGAGTACACGCGAACTGTCCAGGATGATTAACCCGCCCAGTAGCCGAGCAGACCTTTACCCAAACTGAGTGGTCGCCATTCACAACGTGGAGATACACCAGTAATAAAACAGCCTGACAGTGAGCTGCCCCACCAATTCTTTCAACCCAGTCCAAGCGTTTTCCCATCGTGCCTTTCGAAGGCGTGTGCTAGACTTAACCGAGCTCTGCAGGGAGGCCAGCCTCCGCCCCAGGGATCCGGGCCGCCTTCTCTATCCGCAGGTCCCCCCTGCACAGCGGAATCTCTGAGCTCTCCGGCTAAGGCATCTGTGACATTTCTTCTGAGAATCTATGTAAGTTATGGTCTGCTGGCCCACACCCGCTGCCTGGGCTGGAAGGGTCTGTGAGCTAATAAAAGTTTTTACACTTTTATATTGTTGAAGCCTAGCCGGTTAGGCTCAGTGATTAGAGTGTCGGCCCACGGACTGAAGGGTCTCAGGTTCGATTCTGGTCAAGGGCACGTACCTCAGCTGTAGGCTCCATCCCTGGCCCCGGTGGGGACGAGTGAGGGAGGCAACCAATCCACGTGTCTCTTTCACTCTCTCTGTTCCTCCCTCTCCCTTCCCCTCCACTCTCTCTAAAAATCAATAGAAAAAACATCCGTGGATAAGGATGAACATAAATAAGTGAATAAAAAATAAGTAAATAAATGGTTGAAGAAACTCAACAGACATGTGAAAGTTACACGAACTCCACATTTCAATGTCCATGAAGAAAGTCTGGAACTTTCTTCACACGCATTCGTTCATTCACGCGACTTCCTGCTGCGCGGCTCGGCCGAGTAGTTGTCACGGAGACTGTGTGGCCTGCAAAGCCCCGCGCACTCTGGCTCCTTACAGGGCCCTGCTGACCCCTGGTCTGTGTCGATGCCTGGATGTGGATGCTCCCGGCGCCCTTACCCAGCCCTGAACTATCCTCTCCCTGCACAGGCCACACCCTCCGAGGCACAGCGAGCCCTCCCCTCCCCACAGGCTGAAAGGAGAAACGAACCAGTCACGGACTACGCTGAACAGAGACTCAAGCCAGGTTTAATGATGGTTGTCTAGTTGTCAGAGCCCAGAGGCTCCGAGGTTTGCCAGCCTGGGTATACACGGTGCGGGGAGGAGGAGACGGGGGCCTGGACGCGGGAAGCCAGCTTGCTTCGCCAGCAGGGCTACGAGGAAGTAGAGGTAAGAACACACAGAAAAATGAATCCGTCGGCCCTGCCCTCCCCAGCTGGGATGCACCTTCTCCGGGCCCCTTCCTAGGAGCCCCATAAATACAACCAAAAAAAAAAAAAAAAAAAGGCTACACACAGACAGACTGTAGAGCCCTGTTGTACTGTCTCCAGGGACCCCTGCTTCCGGGGAGCTGTGCCTGGTTTATGGGGGTGGGGGTGGAGGTGGAGGGGTGACCTCTTGGCCTGTTCTTAGAACCAGACCTGGCAGCTTCCTCCCCAGGGTTAGGGAGCTTCCATATGCTGAGTCCTCGGTCCCCCAGAGACAGCGACCTGGGGCTCCATCAGCGGAAACCACAGGAGAGGCTAATCCTGCAGCCTTTGGGGGGAGGGCCAGGCACACCTCCCATCCTCTCCAACTAGGGGGCAGAGCAGGGAGACGTACAGCCATGAGCCTTTTCCTGTTCCCCAACTTGGGCAGGACTTCTGAGGCCCTCCTCGTCCTCAGGAACTCGCTAGAAGGCCCCAGAAGGCCTGCTTCATTCGACGCTCAGCTCACTTAAGGCTGTCAGCGCCCTAGGCGGCTCCTGGAGGGGTGGCTGCAGCGCGGAGGTGAGATTCCCAGGCTCCCCGGGAAGCAAGCAGGGAGCCCTGGTTCCTCCAGCCCCAGTAACAAACTCCCCACAGGTTCCAGAACCTAATCGGACAACCTGGCCCTCCCGGCCCGTCTTACCGGGGCAGTTAAGAGCAGAAGAGCAACTCGGTCCCCTGCAGTGTCCCCTGGGTTCTCCCTTGACCTAGCTGTGCACTTCCGTGTCATCTACTGCCTTCCGTCCATGGGAGGTTTCTGAGGGCCTGAAGACCTGGCCATCCCCTCATCACCCCTTCTCCCAAGGTCCTCTCCTAACTCCAGGCCTTGCGGAGAACTTCCTGGGTGCCATGGAGATGTGGGTGACGCTTCAGAGTCCAGAATTTAAAGGACAAAAGTTTATCTGGGGAGCCTGGCGGGATCACTGTCTCCTACGGGGCAGAGAATGGTGTGCGTGGCGTGGTGCACGTAGGCGGACCGTTCGGAGACGCTTAGTGGGGACTGAAGGACCGCGGTCCCGATGGTAGGCAGGGTGCTGCGTGCATGCGGACTAGGAGCATGCGTACCTACGAGCATGCAAGTACTTGAGGGAGATGCTGCACCTCTCGACAAAACTGGGCACTGAGAAAGGATGACCAGCAGCCCTGACCTCCCCGTCCCCGTCCCCAATCTTCACAGGCGGCGGGGCAGTCCCTCCTCGCAAGCAGCCTCACCCACAGGCAAACGACACCTCTTGGAACCTAAGGAGGTCGGAGATCTGGAGAACGAACACTGGGCAGGGAAGCTGGGGAGAGAGAGGGGACAGACTGCGACAGACCAACGTCGGGACATTCTCACCTCCGCCCTGCTCATGCCCTCGACCAAGCACAGAGCAGCCCTCTCCCAGGGGGGAGTGGCCACCTCCATCCCAGAGCGCTCTGCAGCCGCGGATGGAATGGAATGCCGGCCTGTCTTAGGTTCCTGGCCTGCCCACCCCGACTGCACAGACCTCTGAAAGCTCCCCTCCTGACACTTCAGTGCCACCGACTGTCTCCATCACTATCTCCGTTACGAGACGGCCTGGAACCTCGTGGAGACACAGAACTCGAAGCCACACTCCAAACTGCCATTCTGGGGCAAAGACCTCCAAATTCCAACCCATCAGCTACGGAATCCCACGCGTGGCTTTGCAGCAGGGGCTCGATCTGAGAGGAGCAAGGCAGCCCTGGCGACACAGGAGATACACACCTGGTCCCCCCGCGTCCCCTGCCCAGCTCACCCAGCTGGGGCCAGGCGTCCCAGGACTCTACCCTCCGCAGAGCAGCATCCTGGGGAACCTCAGAGTCCCACCGGAGCCGATGAGGAGACGGCATCACAGAGTCAGGTGGGACCAGCGGGATGCTACCTAAGAGGTGGCGGCACCTCCCCATCCTGTGTGACCTGGCCCCGTCCCTGGCAGGCACCCAGCCATAAAAGCTCTGCCTTCAGCAGCCCCCACCCTGGCCTGACAGGCAGGTGCAGGAACCAAACGAGCCAACCTGGAGTTCGCACCCCCAGACTCATGCTCCTGGTTTTGTGCTGCACCTCTGCTCTCGGGAGGACCCCTCTGCGCCACTGGTCCCAGGACAGGGCACAGACACCACACCTCCCCTCGCCGCCATCTCTGACGGGCAGCAAGCCAGGCTCCTTGGGAGAAACGAAGGCATTGGGGAAGTCTCAGAGCTTGGGGAGAGCTATTGATTGAGGTCTCAGCCTTTTCCTGACTCATTCTCCCAACGGTTTCCAATTTCCCCCTGGCCACGGAGTGTGACTTCCTGGCCAGAGGCGACACTACAGCGTCTCCATTGGCTCCTGCGGAAGCTCCCCTAACACACCCAACCTCACAGGTGTGAGTGGGCAGAGAGAGAGAAAAAGATTCCCCCCAAATGAGTTTCTCTTAAGGAGCGAGGGATGACCTCGGACAAGTTAGGGAATCGGCTCTTCCCCCCACCCCTTCCTCACTCCCACCCAACTCGGACACGCCCCTCCTCCTTCACCGCCTTGACGAATGCCGGGGCTCTGGGGAGGGTGCAGCATTGGCCTGAGGACTGATAGATCCAGATCTGAAAATCATGGCGGCCACACCCTGGTGGGGGCCTTGGCTTCTGTTGTACCCATGACCAATTCTCTCGAGGTCAGGGGGAACCCACGCCCTTGGGCAGCCAGCCCCCTCTTCCATCCCCTCCAATCCTTCGGGGGCGCGTTACCTCTCCTGGGGCAGAACCTCCCCACCACCCCATCCTGCTCACACCACAATGGGCGTGTCAGAGAAGACCGAGCTGACCGACTCCGGGTCTGACATCCTCCGCTGCCCCTTGCCTGGGGCCTCGGGCACCGGCAGGGTGTTGCCTGGCTTGAGCTTGCCATTCTGATCCTGCCCAGGCCCAGCAGGTTCCAGGAAGGCCACCCGCCGGTCAAAATCCTCCTCCTTGTCCCCGCCGGCCATGGGGTCGTGGTTGGGTGTGGTGCTGAGCATAGAGGAGCTGAGGCTGTCTCCTTGGTGGCTGGCAGGCTTCTCGACCCCCCGGCACCAGCAGCGGCACGGGGTGAGGTACAGGTAGATGAGGACCAGGACCACGCTGAGGATACAGCCCACCAGGGTGGTGTAGGCGGTGTTGAGGGTGTCGTGGTGTCCGTGCAAGGTGAAGTTGTACACCTTCAACTCCACGGACAGGGTCTCGTTGAAAGCCTCCCCCACGGCGAAGCAGGTGTACACGCCCCCGTCCTCGACCTGCACGCTCTGGAAGTGAAGGCTGCCGTCCTCAATCACCCTCACGGTGCCGTTGGCCGGCTCGTCGAGCACCCGTTCGTGGCTGGGGGTCACCCACATCTTGGTCATCCCCTGCTGCTTCGTGTCACAATGGATGGTCAAGGTGTCCCCCAGGTGGGCCTCCCAGGCCCGCTCCTTGTACTCGCTGCAGTTGAGGTTGAAGACGCTGTGCGGCTTCTTGGCGCTCAGGCAGTGCAGGTCCTCCTGGAAGTCCACCACGGGGCTCAGCTGCCGGCGCTGCCAGTGGGCGAAGAGCTGGTAGAGCTCGCAGGTGCAGAGCAAGGGGTTGTTGTGCAGGTACAGCCCGTTCTTGACCCACGCGGGCAGCTTCTGCAGGTCGGACACCGGCAGGGTCTTCAGCCTGTTGGCGGAGAGGTCCAGCAGCGTCAGCTTGGGGAGCCGGACCAGCTCCAGCGGGAAGCGGGAGATGAGGTTCTGGCTCAGGTAGAGCTTCTGCAGCTGGGCCATGTCCTCGAAGGCCGAGCGGTCCACCGGCCCGATGCGGTTGTTGTACAGCAGCAGCACCTCCAAGGCCTGCAGCTCGCTGAACAGCGCCTCCTCCAGCGTCCGCAGCTGGTTGGAGGAGAGGTCCAGGTAGCGCAGGTTGGGGACCGGGGAGAAGGCCTCGGAGGAGATGAAGTGCAGGTGGTTGTGGCTCAGCAGCAGGGAGTGCAGGTGGGGAAGGCGCGTGGGGGTCCACTCGGCCCGCAGGCGGCTCAGGTTGTTGTGGCTGAGGTCCAGCTGGGCGGTGTAGCTGGGCAGGGCGTGGGGCACGTTGGGCAGCTGCTGCTTGGAGCAGCTGAGGATGTTGCTGGCGCACAGGCAGGCGGCGGGGCAGCTGAACCCCGGCCGGCCGGCTCTGGCCACCTCGCCGAGGAGCAGGAACCAGGGCAGCGGCAGGAGCCAGAGGCCGCGCAGGTCACGCGGGGGTTGCATAGTGTCACCGGGGAGGGCGAGGAAGGCCACCAGGAAGGTCTGGGAGGGAGTCACCCCGGCATGTTCTGGAGGGACAAGAAGGGTCTTTCAGTCCAGGCTGGGGGGAGAGAGGATGGACCAATGGAGGGAAAGACCCGCTCCCCCCACCCCCCCATTGGACTAGAAGTCAAAGGAAGAGATGCCCGGCAGCTCCCCGGCTGCAGGCAGGGGCTCAAAATGCAGGGACAGAGGTGGACACGGGCTGCTGGGCCGGTGGCAGGAGACCTCAGGCGGTGCTGTTTGTTGCAGAGGCTGCCCGGGCCTGGGTGAAGGCGGGGTCTGCAGGGCCTTGGGGGAGGCGAGGGGGAAGGTCAACAGGGCACCGGCTCGGTAGGGGCGTCGCTCCGGGGTTGAGTCCCGGGCCTGTGGGGCGGGCTCCCCCCTCCGGGACCTCTGGTCACTGCACCTGCTCGGCGAGGACGTGTCTCAGCCCATGGCGGGTCCGGGCGCTCCGTCGCGGCCTCCCCCGGCGGCGCCTCACCGGCCGGCCTGTCGCGGCGCCCGCCTGACGCAGGGGCCCGCGCCCGGCGACATCGCCTCCCGGGGACGCGGCGGGCTCCGCGGCGCTCCTCCCCCGGCGCCTCCGCCCGCCCCGCTGCGCCCGCGGGAGCCCACCGACCCCGGCCGCCGCCGGCGGGTGCGCGGTCCGGCGGGGAGCGGCGCGGGGAGCCCGAGGCGCCGCGATCCGAGCGCAGGAGCGGCGTGGGGGCAGCGAGCACCGCGCGGGCGCCCGCGGCCGCCGGAACCTGGTGCGCCCGCGCGGGGGGCGGGGTGAACGTATAGGTGTTTGTGGGAGAGACGGACGGGCTGCCGCACATC